CGTTATTTTATTTTTTATAATTGTTATTGACTTAAATTAAATTAATTACATTACTCCTTTGACTTAGAAGTGTTCTCTTTCTCTTCAACTATTTCCAAACCCTTCTTCCTCCAAGTTTCAACTTCTCCAAAAAATTTATTACCCCATTCCGAACCCAAATCACTTCTTGTCGTTGCCGCCCCCCGCCCGTCTTAGCATTTCGTCCAATGGCTAAGCCTCATTTGGGTGCTATTATTTTCACTTTTCTCCATCCATTCACAACTTTTTATAGATTGTAAGTTTGCAATTCTATTTTTGTAAGTATTTTTTTATTCTATTTCTTGAGTTCTTTTAAGTTTTAATCAGTGATGATTGATTTCATATTAGACAAGAGTTTTGTATTTTACTTTGATATTCTAAATTTCTAATGAACATGTAAGACATTATTGGTTAAAAATTGTGTGATATGAATCATGTTAATTTGAATTAACTATGCCTTACCCTATTAAATTTGAATTAATTGTGAGTTGAATTGAATTTTAATTTTTTGTTAGGAAAGTGTTCTAGTTTTGTGAATTGAGATGGAGAAGTTTCTTGTGAAATTTTAACCATTTCTCAAGCAAGTTCTAGTATGAATGTCAATCCTTCTAGTCTTATAGATGACCTTAATTTAGATTCACTTGAAGTCGATTGTAACAACCCTTAAAATGAACTAGGTGAACTAGAGCCTCTCATGTTTTTTTTTTATGGTTGTTCATGTGATGTTTATGGTCATATCTCATGGCTCAAAACGAATTAGGTGGTCCCCCTTCACGGTCAGTAAAGTCTTCCTTGGCCCCTGACGGGGCTGCCCTAGTGAGGGGTTTATAAGTAATTTCGTTTTAATTGTTTATTATGTGGGGTTGATTTTAAATGGTTTATATGATAAATATATAAGGTTTTAAGTCTATTTTAAAGTCATTCTCCAAAAAAATTCAAAACCTCCCTCTCTCAAAACTCTCTCAAGACTCCATGGAAGTTCAAGGTGAAAGATGGAGCTAAGTTGATGGTGGCTACTGATTTCTTCTTCAATTTTGTTTGGTTCTTCAAGATTAAGGTATGGGTGTGTGTGGTTCTTGTTGATTTGAGTTTGGAAGAGAAGAAGAAGTATAGATGGATATTTATTGTAACATAAATTAGTGTAACGCTGGTTCAATTATTGCATTGCAATTTTCAAATTGTTTCTTCTTGGTTCAACGTCTTGCGTTTAAGGAGACTGTTTGTTATTGACAAGACAAGTTAATGTACTGCAAGATCCATCAAGTTTAAGTTTAGGTTTTGTCCTTTTAAGCTCTTATTGCATATGAAGAGAAAGACATGACTCCAAATGTAATTATTGGACGAACGTATAGGATGATGATTGGAAGCGGCGAGTTCAAGTTATTATGGTTATATTGAACAATTATAAAACTGTATTATACATATTTTTATGGATTTAATGGTTTGAAGACTCGTGGTTAGGATTTGGTTATGGTTATTTTGGGTTGGAAAAGAGGGGTGTGGCGATACGCTGAGTTTTTATTGTTGTGCAGGCATACTCTATTTGGTTGTTGTTGTAACGACTCGGAAAATGATAGAGTGAAACTAGAGTCTCACATGTGAGTTTGGAGTCGAGAACTTAATGAAATGGTTATAATTGAATTTGACCCCAAAAAGTTCTTAAAAATGTGCTTCGGAAGTTATCGGAAACTTGTTTAGCTGTATATAAAAAGATCCGTTTCGTTTTTCGAAAATCCGACTTCATATTCTTGTTTAGGGGGTCAAATTGAGTGGGAAATGGGTCTAACCCAAATTTTAGAGCAACCGTATCAAAATCCGAAATTTCCAAGTGAAGCCTTTTTCGAGGGTCTACTTTGGAGGGTCATATCTCCTAGCACACAAATTATTTGGGTGGCCAATAATATATCCATGGAAAGCCCTTTGAGTTAGCTACCTAACTCACTTCGTTTTACCTCATTCGGAGTTCGGACGAAGAAGTTATGCCCATTTTCGTAAAATCTGTCCGGCAGGAAATGCAAATTTCCAGTGACCGAAATTACTGTTCACCCACCTCTTTTTTTTTCTAAGTGTTGGACCATTCTTCCAAATGACATATATTATTTCCTAGATACCATTAGTTCAATTCCCATCCCTAAAACATTTCCCTCTCTACAATCCTCCATTAAGAAGAAGAAGTGGGAGCTAGGGCTTTGGATTCAAGGCTTTCTTCATCAAATTTCGTGGGAGATCATAGCAAAGGTATGGTGGTCTTGATCCTTGTCTAAATTTCCATTCAAGGAGCCAAATCCAAAGTTATTTCAAAGTATGAAAAATCTAGGTTTCACTCTATCTCATGGGTTCTTCCACCAAATGGTTTTAAAAGGTTTCTAATGGCACTTTATGGTTATATTGTTGTTGTATTGACGATTTAAGATGAAAATACTCCATGGACCCATGATCTCCTTAAATCTCTAAGTTTGGCTTATGAAGTGGGTTTTATGATAATGCTTGGGTATTGATGGAATTGTACTTAGATTGAATTGTATTATTGATTCCTATTGTTATCTATATCTATTGTTGGTGGATTGTTGGTGTATGGATGAGTTGAGAATTATGGCCTTGTAGGCAAGTCATGGGTAAATTCTCTTGTGATGTTAGAATTGTTGAGAATTGGATAATGGTAAGTTGACCTACTTTCATGCTATATTGAAATTGTTCTTGTTTGGATTGATCCACTTATGGTGGAGGTGTGTACTTATTGAATGTGTATTGATTATGGCCTTGAAGGCATTATATGAGTGTTATTGTATTGTTATATTATTATATATGAATGAGGCTATATGTAAAGTCCTATATGAAGCTATATGTGAAGGTATGATGTGAATAAGTTTTATGTGAAGCTATATGTGAAGGAATGATGTGAATGAGTTTTATGTGAAGCTATATGTGAAGGAATGATGTGAATGAGTTTTATGTGAAGCTATATGTGAAGGAATGATGTGAATGAGTTTTATGTGAAGCTATATGTGAAGGAATGATGTGAATGAGTTTTATGTGAAGCTATATGTGAAGGAATGATGTGAATGAGTTTTATGTGAAGCTATATGTGAAGGAATGATGTGAATGAGTTTTATGTGAAGCTATATGTGAAGGAATGATGTGAATGAGTTTTATGTGAAGCTATATGTGAAGGAATGATGTGAATGAGTTTTATGTGAAGCTATATGTGAAGGAATGATGTGAATGAGTTTTATGTGAAGCTATATGTGAAGGAATGATGTGAATGAGTTTTATGTGAAGCTATATGTGAAGGAATGATGTGAATGAGTTTTATGTGAAGCTATATGTGAAGGAATGATGTGAATGAGTTTTATGTGAAGCTATATGTGAAGGAATGATGTGAATGAGTTTTATGTGAAGCTATATGTGAAGGAATGATGTGAATGAGTTTTATGTGAAGCTATATGTGAAGGAATGATGTGAATGAGTTTTATGTGAAGCTATATGTGAAGGAATGATGTGAATGAGTTTTATGTGAAGCTATATGTGAAGGAATGATGTGAATGAGTTTTATGTGAAGCTATATGTGAAGGAATGATGTGAATGAGTTTTATGTGAAGCTATATGTGAAGGAATGATGTGAATGAGTTTTATGTGAAGCTATATGTGAAGGTATGATGTGAATGAGTTTATGTGATCTTGTGATGATCCTATGTAAAGTGGATAGCATTGTGAGTTAAAGTATGATTTCTCATGATGTATATATGAAATGATGTTGGATTATGAAGTATCCTTAAATGAAAATGTTGTGACTTGGTTGGTAGACTAAAGTGTCCCTCCTTGTTACTTAAAGTCTTGAATGCATGAATGTGTGAAATGGGCAAAACTAAGAAATGGTGCCCTTTCATAAGTCTAGCTTTCCTAAGTAAATGTAAAACCATGAAATCGGTAGACCTAATGGTGGTAGCCCTTCTCATGTGTGAAATGATGAACCTTGGACCGGCAGGCTTAAGGCACCCTTAATGAAAAATCGGTAGGCCTAAGGCACCCTTCCAGGGGGATTTAATGAGCTATCCTTATGAACCTTGATTGGCCATGACTAAGAAATGGGGCCTTTCTTGGGAAGAGGTACTATGAGTTGGTTGAACTAGAAAAGGAACCTTCTCTAAGTACATATGTGATTGAATACTCTATGGGAAACAAGGCTAGCACCGAGTGGATGATGTTAGGAAGGTGGCCTAGTTGAGTATGAGATTAGGCACAATGAACTTCCTTGGACATCCCCTAAACCATGTGCCTACATGGGATGTGTCCTAGTTCTACCCTTGGCAAGTAGAACACCTTCCACGGTGTAGGGTTTTATGACACCGGATTCCATGTCTAGCTTGCATGGTCTATGTCGGTTAATGCCTATTCCCATCATGTGGGATGTGCACTCTAGTTATTGGATAGGTTCTACAACGTGTAGGTAGTAGTATGGGATGCTATCTACACATGGCACGAGTAGGCTTTGAAGATACTAAAGTGAGTTCCCTAAGTCTAACGACTATTATGTGAAAGTCCCCTTATGTGCTTGAATGTCTCCAAAATGGTTTCTTAAAGAATGTTGGTCTATTGATGTTATGTTGTAAAGGAAATGTCCTTATCTAAGGTAATCTTGGGGAACACTTAAGTGTGCTTGAAGAGGTTGTATGGGCGGTCACTTCTTGTCTTACTCAAGTGTGTCTTAAGGTTATATTAGGTAGAGGTCTTATGGTAATGAAATGACATGTGTTCTTTTAAAGTTAAGCATGGGTTGTATATGGACTTATGTTAAGTATGTGTGTGCTTGGCTATGGTCTTATATGTTAATGTTGACTTGTATTATGTCTCTTATACTTGTAAAGGAAAGGTTTTATCAAATGATATGAAAGCATTTACTTCCTTGAAAATGTCCTTTTTGGCATGTTTTTGCATGGTCTCCATACTTAGTACTTAATTGTGCTAACCCCTTTCTTTCCCTTTTTAACTAAAGTGTAGGGATTTGGAGATGATGACATGTCATGGCTTTGATAGGTTTCTAAGTGTTGAAGATGAAGACTTGGTGAGTCCTCATATATTCGAGGACAATACCCCATATGTTCTTTTATGTCTTTTTAAGTATTGTTTAAGTTGTGTATGGGATTGGTCCCGAGTTTTGTACTCTAAAGTATTAGATGGTTTTGAGACATCATGTATAAAGTCTAGAAAGTCTTCCGCTTGCTATTTTTTTTTTATGCAATGTTTTTTTGGTAAAGAAAGTTTTAAATTCCTTATGGTTTTAGTGTCTATGCGATGAATGAATGCTAAGAGGCTTGTATTAGACCTCTTCGAGGTCGAGTACGCCGGTTACGACTAGGGGGTGCTCCCGGGTCGTGACAAACATCCAGGAAAAAGAGTACCAATTACTCACTATAACCCTCAAATAAAGGATGAAGTGAGGAAACATTAAATTCAAAAAGGGCCTTGTCAACCAAAAATGGATTCATATCCTCCAACTGAAATTGGAAAAAGAATGCGTCAATTTTGTAAAATTTGGTTTGAAGGTCCATATTCTAAATGGTTGGAGTATAGCGTGGAGAAAGATTATGTCTATTGTCTATGTTGTTATTTATTCAAAGATGATTTTTTCCATGGAAGTACAAGTGAGTTTTACACAAAAACGGGTTTTAGGAGTAGGAATAGGGTACTTGAAAGATTCTGTAAACATGTTGGTGATGTTAATAGTATTCATGACAAATGTTTCAACAAGATGCTAGATTTGTCAAATCATCATCAATCAATTCAAGTTGTTATTGATAAGCATTCTCAAAAGTTAAAAATGAGTATTGAATGCGTTTGGAAGCCTCAATTGATGTGTCAAGACTTCTTTTGCAATATGGATTACCTTTTCGAGGTCACGATGAAAGTGAATCTTCAATTAATCAAGGCTTCTTTCTAGGATTTTTGCGACGGCACGGGGACAAACATCCGGATGTGGGAAAAGTGATATTGAAAAATGCCCCACAAAATGATACATTGACTTGTCCTATGATTCAAAAAGATATTGTCAATGCTTGTGCAAAAGAAACATTGAAAGCAATAATTGGGGACTTGAATGGAGATTACTTTGGTATATTAGTTGATGAGTCAAAAGGCATCTCTCACAAAGAACAAATGGCTCTTGTTTTGCGTTTTGTTAATAAGAATGGTAAAGTAGTTGAACGATTTATCGGTCTTGTCCATGTTAGTGATACATCGGCATGTTCATTGAAGAAAGCGATTTATTCTTTGCTTTCCGTTCACTCACTTAGTCCATCCAAAATACGTGGACAAGGTTATGATGGGGCTAGTAATATGAAAGGAGAGATAAATGGATTCAAAACTTTGATTATGAAATATAGTCCATCGGTATATTACATTCATTGTTTTGCTCATCAATTGCAACTAACACTAGTGGCTATTGCTAAAAAACATTTGGATGTTGAATATTTTTTTGATCATGTTAGTAATGTGTTGAATGTTGTTGGAGGATATTTCAAGCGTAGAGACTTACATCGTGATCACCAAGCCAAAAAGTTAGAGAAATTATTTGAATTCAGTGAAGTTCAAAAAGGCCAAGGATTACCTCAAGAACGTGGGCTTCAAAGACCAGGTGATACTCGTTGGGGATCACATTTCAAAACTTTAGACAACTTTATTGTTATTTTCTCATCTATTGTTCATGTTCTTAAAGTGATTGAACTTGAAGGGTCCACATCAAGTGATAGAAATCAAGTGGAGTATCTTTTGACAAAGATTAAAACATTTAAATTTATTTTTTGTGCTTCACTTGATGTTGAAAGTGTTGGCAATGTCAAATGAGTTGAGTAAGATTTTACAAAAAAAGATCAAGATATTGTTAATGCCGTGGAGTTTCTTAATATTACAAAGAAAAGATTGCAAGATATGAGGGAAAATGGATGAGAATCTTTGTTGGATGATGTTTCCTCATTTTGTGATGTGCATGATATCTTGATTCCCAAGTTGGATGAGTCTTATTTTCCCGGAAAGTCAAAACGTAAGTCTTCGGGTGTTAGTTATGCGCACCACTTGCGTGTTGAAGTCTTTTTGTTGTCATTGATGTGCAACTTCAAGAGCTTAATGACCGTTTTGATGTAGTGAGTAGTGATTTGCTTCTTGGGATGGGTAGCTTGAATCCGGTCAATTCTTTCTCTAATTTTGACAAAGGTAAAATCATGACTTTAGCAAAGTGTTATCCAAGTGAGTTTAATGATGGAAAAATTCGAGATTTGGGCTATCAACTCGATACTTTCATTATTCATACGCGAAGTGGTAATCCCAAGTTCTCCAACTTGCAAGGAATTCGTGATTTGGCGAAGGCATTGGTTGAAGCAAATCTTGCGGAGACTTATTCACTTGTTTATTTACTTGTAAAGTTGACTTTGATTTTACATGTTGCTACGGCAATTGTGGAGAGAGCATTTTCGTCAATGAAGCACATAAAAAATGAAGTGCAGAATAGTATTGGTAATCAATATTTAAATGATTGTCTAGTGTGTTACATAGAGCGTTGATGTATTTATAAATGTTAGTAATGATGTCATTATCGATCGTTTTTAGAATATGAAAACTCGTCGAGGACAATTGTAAATGAATGATGAATATTTATAATATTAGTAAATAGTAATATTATTGAAAGTTTTAAATTTGTTAACTTCATGCTTTTAGTGTGGAGTGTGAATTTGTAATATCTTATTATTTATATTTTATTGATTGATTTATGATATATATTGAAAAGACGAATAATTTAATCAAATATAAAATTAATTTAATCGATAAGTTTATTTGGCACCCACGGACTCTAAATCCTGGATCCGTCACTGTTTACATGGCAAATAGATATCCATGTATTATACTTGGTGTCCAAGTATATACACGTATATATAACCCTCTTCTTGTAACATAACATAAGACAATAGTAAGTGAAAAGAAAAACATTCAATAATAAAGAAAAACAACTACTACTACTTTGTGTGTCTCTCTCTTTCTCTCATTTTCTTCTTGTCATTCTATTTTACTACGCATGATTCATTTTATAACAGGTTATCTGCGTGAGCCTCTAATTTATATTAAAGATATACATGAGATGAGTAACAAAATTGGGGAGATCTTCCAGTAAGTATCTAGGTATATATTTTATCTAACATTTATTTATAAAAAAATTTATGCTGCAATATCTCTTTTCTGGATTTCTTTTGAATCTAACATTCATTTAGTAACAAGAGTTTTTAAAAAGGTTGTTTGAATCATATTAGTACTATGCTTAAGATGTTTATGTTTGCATTATTATTGATGTAGTTTTTATATCTTAGTATATGTATTTTGTGAATTTTGATTATGACAAATTTTCAATAAGTTACACAATGAAATAAGCTTTTCAATTTGTAATAATCATGGCTTATTCAATTTTGAATTTGTGATTTTTCTTCCACTCTCTTTTAAGGTGTATTTCCTCTTTATGCTATATTTTGATTTAACTTTAAAATTAAAAAAATGAAAGTTGTTTGACCAATTGAGCTTTGGATCTTCACTTTAATCAACAAAAGGATAAAGCGAAATTGTTAATACATTATAATAAACAAATATATATGATTTTCCAACATACAGTCTTCTTACATATATTTGAAATTTTATTTCTAACATTAAGACATAATTTTCTAGTGCAAAAATAATAAATCAACACTTTGGAACTAACAACTCTTCCTTGCATAGCATGATTGTGTTTGTCACCATGTTTCACAAATGATTGGAATATTGAGTTGTCGATTTCTTTATTAGAAATATGCATCTAAATAATTTTGTTGTTATGAATTATTTTGTCAATAACCTTTAAAATTAAGAAAAATAATTTTATTACAATAGGTGTTCAAATTTATAATTATAGTTATATGTGATTTAACACATGTTATGTGGTTTATATTAATGTTTATAATCTTCTACCCACTTGATGAATTCTAGATTATGTTGATAGACAATGTTCATGCATTTAAAAAAATTAAGATTGCATCAGGCTTGAATTTGTTTTTATAATTTTCATCTAACAATGCTAAACCTCAGGTGTCTTTTTAGCATTATATTTTAATTTGATGGAACACTCATAATTACCAACACAATACGCTTATTTGAAAATAAAATTTTTAAAAAAGTCTAGCAACGAAAAATAAATTTAAAGGCAGGTGGAGAGCTTTAATAAGACGATATATCTATTAAAAGATTGCATAAATATCATTAAGATTTGAATATAAAAGAAAAAAAAAAGAAATAGAGAAAGAGAACAATAAAAGGAAAAATGAGAATAATTTATTGATGGTACAAGGGATGAGAGGAGAGAAAACTTAGTCAAGAGTGAATTGAAGGATGAGATAATGTTATTTATTTGTGTCAAAAGAACTACTTCTAGAGAAATCATAAAACAAATGATTTATAACTTGAGAAAATATAACCACAGATACATTGATATTTTGGATCATCCACCTTTTTAATTTCGCACGATTAGAATTGATGATTCAAATTTTTCAAAATTTGTATTTTAATTCAGTTGAGAGATTCAAGGAGCAAATTAAGTGGGTGTGGTAGATAGAAGTAGTGTGTAGATTTGTATAAAAGGAGAAAACAAATTCTACACGATCTAATACAAAAAGATGAGACTCAACTTAACCATTTTTCATAATTAATTAAAGTTATAGTGATGCAATATAACTAACTATTCAATGTTAGCTTAGTTATATAATTTTCCTTTAAAAAATATAGTCACATATACATAGATATTTTAAACTTTATATTTTAAATTGAAATAATTTTTCTATAATAATAGAAATATAATATATAATATATAATTAATACAAGAAGTTATCATTCATTCTTTTTCAATTTTTTTTTAGCTTCTTCGATGTCATAATAGTGGTATCAGAGCTTTCCATTGATCTCAATGAATCTGTAAATTTATTGAAGAAAAATTTTTAATCACTTTTTAACTCATGTATATTTTCAATCAGCGACGGATCTAGATTATAACGACTGTTGACATCAAATTTTGGTTTAATATTTTTCAATTTTTTTTAAAGTATTTTATTTGTTAAATAGTTCAAAATAAATTTTTTGTAATTTTAATGTATTTATCGATAATTTATTTTATTTTAAAAATATTAAATTTTTTATTAGTTAATTCTAATCAGGGGAAAATTTATGTAATAAATTTGGGTCACTGAAATTAGTGATCATCTAACTAAATTTGATATATTACTTGTATAATTATTAAAGAATATATTAAATATTAGTTGGCGGAACTTATTCTCAAAATGGGTAGCTGATTCACTAGTATGAGGGCTTTTTTTCAACACTAAAGTCTCTGATTCGATCCCGACCATCACAATTTCGCTTTGATTTTTTTTACGTTCTTAAAGCTCTAAAGTCAAAAGATTCAAAAGGTTTTCTTTCCACATACTTTTCAAGTTTCAACAATATTTTTTCTTCTCTCTTCAATTTTTCCCTTTTATTTTCCACACAAAGAAGCTCCAAGTCTCTGACTTCAAGTCATTAAGAATCTAAAAAATTATCGTAGTCAAGGTTTAAGATTAAAAAAAATTAGTTCATGATTTCTCTTTTTAAAAAACAAACAAACGAAATATTTTTTTTTTTAAATACATGACTTTAATTTTAGGGTTTTCATATAAAAAAAAATTGAATGGTTGTTTAGTTTGTAAGATAGAGCGTAAGATATTTGAAAATATAAGTAATGATCCTACTGTATAGACTGATTTCAAAATATGAAGTCTGTCCTAGTACAATTGTAAACTGATGATATTTTTTGTGATAATGTAACTTTTTTTTATCTTTTGCTTGTTGAGTTATTGTTATTACAAATTTTAGATCTTATCTTTAAAGCAATGGTGCACCAATTTTCTTGAAATCCTGAATTCGCCTCTGATTTTGATTAAATTGTTTTAAACACCATATGTTGTGTATAAACAAAATATTGTTTCAGCTTCTTTAAATCATCATATTTTTAAAATTACATTTTTACATGCCATTGGTTATATTTGTTATATTTACTCATATTCATTTAAGTATTTTTATCAATATGGGAATGTCTTTAAGATGCAAATGGGGAGAGAATGTATGGAGTTTTCAAATGTTATTTTAAAGAAGAGAAAAAACATAAAATCATCATTAAAGTTGTCCCTTATTTTTAAAAGAGAAAATGGGCAAATGACCCCCCCCCCCAATCTATTACCGGATTTTCAACTACACACTTATATTTCACGGGGGTCCTATTACCCCCTGAGCTATTTTAAAGTGGAATTATTTCTCCCCTAAAATGTTATTATCAGGCATGTGTCTTGTGGTGAAATACACGCACTTGACACGTGTATTTCACCATTTAGTAATTTCTTTTTTTTAAAAAGTTCCCCTCCTTTCTCTTCCTTTCTTCCCTAATCATTTCTTCAACTCTAACTATAATAAACACCATTTTTTACCTCAATAAATTTATATATCTCTAACAATCTGTAAAAACGAAAATTCAAGTTATCTACTCTGAATCTATAGAGCCTAGAAGATAGCGGTCCTAATCAAATCTTTCATTCAACCAATTCAACAATTTTTCTAGACTTTTTTACATTTCGTTCGATTTTCTTCCTTAGATAATTTCAGATACACATTAAGTGGGTCATGAACATTCAAGATCAAATTCAGCCCAAGATTCCGTCAACAGCTCAAATTCATCGCGGATGAGAAGACCAATTTGAGACCAATTTGTGACACCAATTTGAGAAACCTCTCTCTCTTTCTCATTCTTTATTCTTTGTCCCTCTAAAATTTTCATGATTAATTTATAATTTGAGTTTTTAATTTTGATTCTTCATGGGTTTTAGGAGAACATGTAGGATCCTACTTTAAAAATGTAGAAGAAATTGTTTTGTTTAGTTCCTTTTAATAAGTTTGAAAATATTTTTTTAAATATACAATTACTTCACTTTGATTTTGTTACTCTTGAATCCATGACTTAAAAAAAAAATTAATTATGGGTATGTTTTTTAAAAAAATATACTTAATTTGTTAGATATGATCTAAATAAGTCTATTGAAAAAATTATTTATTCATAAAATGCATTAGTTGTTGATAATTTTTATACCAAACATCCATTAAAAAAATTTCAACAATGATAATGGTGAAAAATGTATAGTTGTATAGATAAATAAAAAGAAAGAAAGAGAAAGAAAAAAGAAAAAAAAATGGAAACTAAAAACAATAGGCAACTCACTCTCTATGCCAACTCAACACTTAAGGGGTTATTTATTCCATTTTAAAGTATTTCAAGGGGGGTAATAGGGCTCCCGTGAAAGATAGGTGTGTAGTTGGAAATCCGATAATAGGATGGGGGTCATTTGACCATTTTGTCTTTTTAAAAAGACATCTTAACTTTGTGGGCGTCCTATCACCTCACAAATGTATTGCTATAGAGGGAGAACTACTTCTCGCTATAGCGGATGCAGTGGCGTACGCAGAATTTTTCATAAGCAGTGTCACATTTTAAAATAAATATAAATAATTAAAAAAATTATAATATTATATTAAAAAATTAATTTTTTTTTAGCATTTTTATGTGTGTAGCGAAATATATTTAAATTAAAAAAATTAACCAAGAAAGAAAAAAATGGTATTGAGGTTTGAACACCCAACTTCAAACCATTAAGTGAAGTACCCTGACCAATTGAGCTACGCTCTTCGTTGGTTTAAGGAGTGTCACTTTATTGCATTTGTTCTTTATTTACAATTTGCTTTTCAGTTATTTATAATTATTTAATAAAAAAATTCAACGAAGTCGTGTTACGTGACACACCTTCGTCTAAGGTAAATTTCCCCTGAGCGAGTGGGGGTCGCTATAGCAGAGTTATTCATATAGAGAATAACACATATTGTTATTCTATTTCAATTAATAAAATGAGATTAAGAAAAAAAAGATAAATTCCTACTTATTTATTAGTTAAAGTAATTTTAAAAGAAAAGAACAAAAATAAGGTTCTTTAAAAGTAATATTTTTATCAGGAATAAAATATGTTTAAAAAAGAAAATAATAATAATATATTTATTAGGAAAAAAAACATTTTGACCTATTAA